ATAAATAAAGATGGAAAACTGAAGTGCTATTTGAAAACTGGGTGTTGGAAGACACCATGTGTACAATGGCACTTCACATACTTCTTGCATCACTTAAAAAATCACATGGTGTCCAAACTTGCAGCCTGGCACTATTCAAAACACTAAACCATTGGGATCAGATTCTGGAATTGTGCCAAGGGAGTTCTGATACAGTTTCTTTGATAATTGGCCTGTATAATTAGGTTATATTTCATTTAAAGAAAGTGCCTAGCCAGATGAATTTGGACTCCAGTCACATTAATTCACACCAAGCAAGATTTTTAATTACACCCAGGGATCTGGAGATGCAGCAAAGTGCCTCATTCACACGGTTTGATGGAGAAGTAACCTACAGTCGGGTCTTTATAAACCTCACTTCAACTTCCTTAAGACTGGTGCATCTTTTCTCCTCAGCTCTCCAGCCCAGTGCTGAAGCTGAGCACATGCTGCTATCAGCAGTCAGGCTCTGCTAACCCACTGCTGGGAGATGGGATTTTCCTAGCAAGCACAGGGTGAGGTCATGTCTGCTCATGAGAAGTGGAAGCAGACCCTTAGATGTCCAGGTAATGTCAATTATTCCTCCGAATTGCTGGCACACAGAGAGAAGCAGAGATTAAAAGCAAACATGGCCTTAACACACTGTTTATGAGTTGTGCTGTTCAGGGCTCAGCAAATGTTCTCAGCCAGCAAACCCCCAGGGAATCCACTTACTCTGCCCATCAGGCCCAGGCCCATAAATTATTACACCAGAAATAAGGAGCAGTGGAAAACATCAACATTATTTAACACTGTAGAGCTCTTTCTCCAGAAAAAATACGGTTGCTACCTGGATGAAGCAGAGCTGAGGGATTTGGGATGTACTTGTGTCACAGCAAACCGAGCCTGGGCCAGCACATAGGGAAGGTTTTAGGAAAGCCAACGTAGTGGGAGCTTCCCGCTGTTTTCCTTCACCTGCTGGGCTGATTCCAGCCTCCAGCTCTGGATTGTTCTGCTCTGGAATCCCTGAAGAACAGTTCTGAATGTGGAAGGGAGGTGAGAAACAAGGGCATCGATTCTTATCGATCCTCCAGCTCCACCTTTATCCTGGCTGGATGAAACCATCCCTTCCTAACACGCCCCTGGGCATTTTCCAGGGCTGGCCTTGCACTGGAGAGCACAGGCAGAGCAGAAAATGCCATCCATCTTCCCAAGCAAAAGCAAGGACTAAACATTTCTCAGTTCACTTGTAGTGCAGCACCCTGGCAATCAGCAGTTTGGGGAGTTCTCATTGTGGCAGGTTAAAGGAATATTAGTGATGTCGAGGGAGGCTGCTGGAATAGCCAAACACTGCTGGAGCTGTTTGTCAACAAGTTTTCAACCAAGGTCAGGCACAACAAAAAACCCCAAAACAGTTTATGAAGTGCTATTGGGTAAAATACATTGCTTTAAAACCCCAAAGAAACACAAGGGAAAAGCTATTATGCACATTATTAACTTATGGCATTTGATCTCTAGACAGAATGTAATGTCTTTGAGAGGCATTCTGTAATATTCTAGTACTGTTAATGCTACACTATTTCATCACTACAATCATATGTTGACAGAGCAAACACATGCCCTGGAATGTTTTTTATTCTAATTCCTTCTCATAAATCTGTACTCACTAAGGACTTCTCCAAAGCCCTTAGACAGCAAAGTAAGAACAACATTAGGGATTATTTTAAGTGAAACCAAGCTAGTCCCAGTTTTCACATGGACTCAATCCTTTTCCCAGGTATTTTGCATTTTTGTCTACACCAAGCTACCAATCAAAACTAAAAGCAGTCCTGAGCCACCCCTGACAATGAGATGATTACAAAAGTCAGGAGATTTTGAAGTATCTGCTTATGTCCTTGGGGTTTGGCCACAGATAAGATCCCTAACATGCAGATTTGCTCACCCTCCCCACCGAAGAGCAGCAATGTCTTTCCTCTTTTAATTTCCAGAAAAAAATGTTTGTTATAAATCTGGGATTAAGGCCAGGTGTGGTCACAAACAAATTTGGGCAGCTGAAGTAATTGTTATTTGCTGAAAGTAATTGCTTCCTGTTACGATTACCATAGCAATTAATGCAATTCTCTCTAATACTCTCAGGAATAATAAAGTTACTGGAGAAGAACGGCAAACAAACACCTTTGCCCGCTCTAGAAAACAGATTAGTACCAAAGCTGGTTTGTTATATGGACAGCAGGAGAGCTGCATCGTCCTTAGCACTTCCCTTTCTGCTTTTAAATGCTTGGCTTAGTCAAAGTCATGAGAGACAATTAGGGGGTTGTCACTAAGCAACCATAACTGGGTTCAGGAGCAAAGCAATTTGGAACAGGCAGTACTTGAGTGCTAAATCCACTGCAGCAACACCTCCAACCACTCACTGCTGCTCACACCTGGGGACAATGGGGCACAGGGAAGCAATCAAGGGACCCTTTAAAACAAACTTCACATTTCAGTTTTCAAGCTACTGGAGAAACTTCATCTTCCCCTGATTTCCCACCATCCCATCTCCCCCACAGATGAGCTTTTGAAGAAATGCTTGAGACAGGAAGGACACAGGGAAGCACCTGAGGCTGTCTCGAGGCATCAAGTGCTAATGCCACCAAGTCAACTGCAATGAAACACCGACACACCACAGATCCACCCAGGGGATCTCCTTCTGCGTGTTCATTTTCATCACTTAGGTGCTTTTGAGTTTCAAGGAGGTACTTAGGATGTCCTCAGAGGAATAGGAAGTTTTGAATGAAAATACAATGAAATAATGAAATATTCCTATAGTTCTACATTCCCTGTACATTATGGGACTGGTACATTAGTAGTGGTAGATGCATCAAACATTGGTGACAAAAATATTATTCCTTTATATAAAGGTACTTCAGTTAATTCTGTTTTCCCTCTACCCAAAAGATCCTAATTCAGTGTATTTTAAAAACCCCACAGTCCTTTCTCTGTCTACCCTTGTAACATGATGGAAGAGCTGGGAAAAGGAGTGTGGGGAAAGGGACTGGGTAGTACCAAGAACAATCAAGCAGACAATCTGGCCCAGACCTTGATGCACACGCACAGTGCAAGTAATTAAATACATGATAAGAGCTATTTGAGAAAATAAAGCACAGAAGACAGGAAAGTGATGAATTTAGAAGGATCACAATATGTAGTTAAGGTTCAAAGCCGAGTTCTGATTTTGGTTGGAGCCAGTCAGAGCAGGGGTTCTGCAAGGCTTGCCTTACTAGCCATGCATACAAGAACAGCATCAGGCCCCTTCTGCTGACAGCTGTGAGCTGACAGATGCACTCCTGACTCACAGATGCAGTGCTCAGGGCCATACAGCATCATCCAGGAGACAGTCAACAGTGTATTTTCCCAGGAGTCTAAACACACACTTGACAAAGGGTTGATGGATATTACAGGGGCTCCCAATGGAAGCAGAAGCCCAGCATGACTGGGCTCAGAGCACTAAAGGATGAAGAGACTTTTATCCTGATATTCCAGCATCCAGCCAAATCATTCAGTTCTGGAAGACTGAATAGATGCAGCCCAAAATGACAATAGCCAAGTATTTCTCATTACTTTTTGCTGCTGCAAATGCTATGGATAACAGAGGAAATGATTTTGGCTGGGGCACGCAGTGCTTGCCTGGTAGTCCTTGAGTATTTTGTTCAGCCCCAGTACACAGAAAATAAAAATGTCTGAACGTATTTATTGAGGGCTCTCCGCTTGCCGCACTTGGCAGCGAGTCTGTGACGGGCTGGAGAGCGCTGCTGCTGTCTGGGGGAGAGCAGCCTCCTCTCCAGCCACACCACCTTGTCTAATCCCTGCTGCTAGTGACCCACTCCCTGAGCATTCCAGGGAGACACCTTACCCACATCATCTGCAGGGCTGCAGGTACGCAGCAGGAAGGGAGGCAACAGACGCAAAGTGGGACTTGCGTTTACGGGGCTTCGGCAGCTCAAAGCAGCTCTCGTGGTAGCAGTGTCACAGCAGTCTGCATTCACCTGAACCCCCATTGTTCACCTCTAACCCCTGCCAGCCAAGTGCTGCTTATGGACCAGCCATGTGCAGCTTGTGTGTATTTTTCTTCTCTCCTCCCCACCCACAGTTGTTGTCCCAAGCTGCCCTGTGCTGCTGGGCATCCTTCTCCACACTGAGAGCCCTGGGCACTTCCATCAGCCATGGAGCTCCGTGTCTCCTGGTGGAGCAAAGGATTTTGAAGTGTGAGGAGAAGCAGAGAATCAATATACACAGCAGAAGTCCAAGGAATGCTTGGTCCTGTCTCTAATGGCACTCTTAGGCTCCAGAATATGATCAGGGCTGCTGGGAACCCCGGTCACGGCAGCAGCAGCGAGGTGAGCAGTGACCATTGCAATGAAAACAAGCAATGTTCTACAAAACTCCCAACTCTGAGAGCTAGTGGCTATTTAGGGGTTCAAGATTTCTGTGTCTGAAGTTCTTATGTTCTGAGGATAAAATTAGTACAAGATCCAACATTCTTGGTATATTAGGCGTGTATGAACTATGGTCTATAGAGAAATACAGTGACATTTAAATTGCTTCTAATGATGTGATTGTACCATGAAACTACTATATTTCCTTCTGCTAAAATAAGAAACAATGATTGTGATCATATTTCTGCTTTATTGAGAAATACTATTCTTTTTTAACTTACGCTTCTCATTAGCACCAAATAATGGGTAAGCATGGATCTGATTCTCAGGCTCAATTTATGCTTAATGATACATTGTCTGCTCTTTAACTGCCAGAAAATGGGTTCCTGGATGTTTCCTTCAATTCATTCCTAAAGCATGATTCCTAAAGCATGTGCAGCATTCCTGCCTCCTAAAAATTTGTTCTATAAAATATGTCTTTAGTACTGGCAGATCCTATTCTCCCTAGTCATTAGACTGGAAAGCCTGTGTGTTACCCAAGTATTTGTTCAAATAATCACATTCCAAACTGGTTTCAAGACATACCTTTACAGTTCATCTTACATTCTGAAGGTTAGCAGGGTTTAGTCTAATATTTTCCAGCCAAACCCCAGAGTTTTAGGTACTGAACCGAACACGGTGTTCCTGAAAGAGAAGAAAAAACCGGAAAAGTGCAAATGTTAGGGGAGGTGTGAGCCAGAAGCCAAAACTTCAAATACCTTCCCCTGAATCATCTTATGCCGTGAGACTTGAAACCTGCACAAATACTGTTTCCTCCTGAGGCAGAAACAGGAAGAATTTGAAATCTGTACGGCTGAAAATAACTTTCCCAAATATCTTTCTCTTGCATTTCTGCTGCTATTAGAAAAAGTACAGAAGTGTGTGAAGGTTTGGATGTGGGCACTTGACAATGTGCCATCTGCCACGTGAGCTGCCATGAAGAGCAAGCACAGGGTGACTGTGCTCAGGCATTGCTGGGCACGACAGGGTGAGCTTTGGCATGTGCAGAAGGAAACATGAAAGCAACCTGCCCTGAGTTCTTTGGCTACAGCAGCACACCTGCATCCCCTCTGGAGCAATGAGCCCTGGGTAGAGAATCATTTTGGCTTCCCTGGTGTCATGGGTTTGCTGGTTCGTAGAAACTAAGTAGGAATTTGTCCCTTCCCCCTGCCCACTGCATGGAGGAGATGTTAAATGGGCAGTTAAATAACACAAAAGAAGTTGCTGGTGAGGTCACATTCCCAGTTAATGGCCCTCAGAACCTTGTTTTTGGGGAAGGGTGAGGAGTTCCTTTTTACTTTTTTTTTTCCTCTGGTCTCCTGGGAAACAGGGTGGGGAAGGAGTTCAGGTGGCTGCTGAAGCTGGAACAAGGTCAGAGTAGGAGCTCAGAGTGGGTTTTGTTCTCAGCCTGGCTGTCAGCTGTGGATTCTGCTTGGATTTTCATCGGAGAGGAACTGTTTTGGGAGGTTTTCCCCTTCCCCGTTCCCGTTTGTTTCTTTCTTGGTAGTGGTTCTTGTGCACCTCAAAGGGAGAGGGAAGAACAATATTGCACGATTCGGCCAGCAGGACAGAGGGAGTTCCCGCTGGGGAGGACTTTTGTTGTTTCTCTCCTTCCTCTCTCTCCCTTTCCCAGTGTGGGGGGAGGGAAACCCATTTTTGGTTTCTCCAACACACCCCGGAGGGTGTCACTCCACGTGGCAATGACCAGTGATCCAACAGCACCCCCTGTTGACTGTGGTTGGAATTGCACCAAAGGGCACCAACTGAACTGTTTACCTTTTTTTCTTTGTTTATTGGTTTGTTTTGAAGGGGATTATTTGTGGGTGTAGGAGTATTGCTTGGTTGTTTTACTTGTTTTCTTTTGTTGTTTCTACCGATACACATATATCTTTTAATAAAGGGCTGTTATTTTTCCTTTTTCCACACTTTTTTCCCCCTCAATTGGAGCCTCTTAATTTCAGATTTACAATTGCTTAGAGGGAGGAGTTTGAGTCTTCCTCATAACTCATCCTCAGCAAAACACCTGTGTCTCATTTTAAACTGAGACACCTGGTCCTTCTCCTCTTTCTTTGTGTGCTTTTCAAACAGCACAAGAAAGCAGATGGTGTATGCCTGGCATTGCACCTCACAACTTTGTCCCAGATGAGCCTGGGCCACAGAACTTTCTGCAGATTATGATAAAGCTGGACCTGGCTGTCTGTTGGCCAGTGTCCTCCACAGGGCATATCCACACAATTTCCAACATTTTATCTCTGGTGTAAATGACCAGATGCCTTCCACAGGTTGTTATCTGATACATGCTGTAGAGTCCTTTCTAACTCCATCCTTTCCCACTCTACAGGCTTGTTGCTCTTCTCTATTTCCCTTTCCCTGTATGTGACCATTTGGGATAAGCAATGGATGCTGAGCACTGTTCCGATACAGTTCAGTGATCTGCCAGTGAATTCCTTCTCTGGGTGTTTGAATTCCCCAAGTGTAACTTCCAGATTTAATTTAGTTCCTTTAGTTCCCAAACCAGAATTCTGCACCTGTGTTTTTCTCTGTCCTGGGATCTCTTATGCTTCCTCATGCTATTCCATCAAGATATGGAAGCAGCTGTACAAAGCATTATGTTTTGTGATGGTTTTATTTCTGGCTGGTTCATAACTAACCATTAGCTGGTGAGGTAAAGAATTTTTCCACATCCCTGATCTAACACTGGAGACTGACTGCTCAGTGCAACCACTTTACAACTTCTTTATTATTATTATTGTTATTATTATTATTGATATTGTGATATTGTGAATAACTTAGACAATTATTTTACTTTATTACATGCTACCACTGAGGACTCTTCAGCTCCTCACACTACCTGCTGTTGCCAAGCTGCTAAATATGAAACACTGCCTGTTGATACCCTGCAAGGAACATTATTTTCCTCAAGGGGAACAAGCTCTCCAGTTGTGACGTATTAGAGGGATCTTTACGCCAACTGCTGCCCATTAACATGCTAATCAGCAGCACAGGGAAGAGCAGAGCCAGAACCACAAACCCAAAAAGTCATCAAAGCTTCAAGGAAATCACTTGCATGTAACTCACTGGTGAGGCTGGCACGGATTCGCTGTAACTTTATGATCTTTCTGGTTCTGTCTCCATGGAACAGATGACATTTATATGAGAGGTGGTTTCCATGCTGCCTGGGTGCTTTAAATGCACACACTGAAGAGTGAATAATAAGAGACAAAGGTGAATCACCACTCAGGAGTGAAAAGTAGAGTCAGAGGGGAAGGGGGGGTAAGAATTAGAGGTTCCTCTTGCAGTGTCAGAATGCCAGCCCCCTCCTCTTCTACCTCCCTTTCCCTTCCCTCCTCTGCCAAATTACTGCTAATAATTAACCCAAACTTTCACCCAGGAGTGACCCAGCCTCCCTCCCCCTCACCCCCGAATGATCTGATCACTTCTTAATCAAAAACTGCAGTAAACACGCTTGAAAACAGCCCATGATCATCTGCCACACAGCCCGTGCCAGCAGCATCCTTCTCTGTGGGCCCTTTGCAGCTGGATGCCTTCCCAACACCTTCCTGCTTCCAAGCTCTGCTCAGTGTGTGTATCTGAGCTGGCCAAACACTGGGTCACCCCACAGACTCCGGGTCACTTGTAGGTTCACAGCTACTTCTTTTCCTTGTTGTCTCAACCCTCCTACATTTTGTGCTAACAGGGGAAGTGGGGCTGTGCTGCAGGATCGGGATTCAGACTCACTTCTGAGAGGGAAAGGCTTCAGTGTCTGAGGTGGGAGCTTAACTCCTCAGGGCTGGCAGGACAAGCTTTGAGGGAGAAGATTGTGTTTACAGTGAGGATTTCTTCTTGTCCCAGTTTTGCTTCTACTGAAAGGGACAGACATATTTTGATCTGCATCAGATAGAGTCAATTGTATCTGAGACAAATAAATGTGGTGGGGATTCTTAGGAATGAAGTTTGCACGTTCTCAGATTTCTTACCTGGAAAGAAATGAGATGACAAATGTAATTTTTGTCTCTAAAACAAAACACACATCCCTAATATATTGACTTAGGTGCATTTACCTCTTTGTTTTACCAGCACAAATGCAGCTTAGATATGACCTTTGCTTTCCAAACCTTTGCTTTCCCAGCTCCTGCCTTCCCATGGCAATGGAGAAAATAAAAAATATGAAATATTCACAAATGACAGGATCTAATACATTGTCCTTTGAAAGGATCATATTAATCAGAGGTGATTTGTACATGTAGTCACTAGAGCCAACAACTTTAGTACTGGATTTCCCAACTGCGGCTCAATTCATTATTACTTTTAAAAAACCAATGTATTGCATCAATACATAATCTATTTCTTGGAGTTACCTGTTAATTGTGGAGAGATTCTGACTTTGTTGCCTTCATCACAAACAAGGCCATACATTTCACTTGACATTTCTGGCTCTTCATTCCGTATAAAACGCTCCATTACAACCTCATGTGACAATAAAGTCACTGCACTGTATCTCTCAGAACATTAAAATAAGGAATAAGGTGCTCATCTCTGCTTAAAAATGCAAAGAAAAATTATTCAGCTGCAATATTTTCTCCTCTGGAGAAAGGCTTTTGGGATGTATTTATAAGAATAACAACATGCAAACTAATATTGCACTGAAAATCAACAAGTTCCTTTACCTTTTTAAAAGCCAAATGCACAAATACTGATTCTTCCATTACTTTCCCTCACTTCTTCAGAGCTTAAAAAAATCTCTGTAGCAAAACCAGCAACAGACTGAAAGGTGCAACCAGTCTATAAAGCTCAGATGGGATGAAAAATTGAGCCCTGAAACTTTGCAAATAAGTCACTGTGAGTCAATTTTCCCCCAGCTGAATCTGTGCCCTGACTGTTCTCATTCCCCACAGGTAGTTATGGCACTGGTAATTTGAAGTAACTTGCTGGTATTCAACATGTTTCTTTATTTCCTCTCCTGTAATTGAGTTGTGCTGGTTTGACATTGTAATTCAGCACTGGGGAAGGAGCAGACCCAACTTACTGAAATATCCATGGCTGATTGAAAAATCCTGATTCGACTTCGCAGTTCATTCATTAAGGAAAACGTACTTTCATTACACTTGTTTGCAGAACTAAGTAGTTATTTGTCAGGAACAAGAGGAATATCTTGCTGTCCCTACAGGAAGTCACAGCTTTGGGCAGGGATGGTTCTGATGTGAGGTTTGGTTTCCAAAAGGATTTTCTGGTGGAATCGACAACATAAAATTTTCATTAACCATCCGCTTGTGCTCTTCTGATTCTGGGGACAAACCCTGGCTCTTGCTCCTGCACACCCACTTGGAATTGAGATTTTGCCTGGACGAGGCTCAGGAAGTTCAGGATGCTGCCCCATCAACCCCATGTCCCTCTGCAGGAGTTCATCCACAGCCATCCAAAGCCTGAACAACCCATTTTCCCTCTCAGTCTCGAGGTCACACTGCACGACTCAGGTGGCAAAATGCTTAGCACAGCTGATGGAGCAGATTAAAAACATCATGGGCCTGAACACCATCTTGCCAGCAGCTTTTTTTGTAACCAGGGCAAAAGGGAAGCTGTGGTTTCCTAAGATACTCTTCAGCTAAAGTATCCTGAAACATCAACTGCAAAAAAGGTGCTTCTATGCACTTCTTTGTACTTACACTGTTGCCACTAATTGATTTCACCACTCTGCGTTGCTGCTGCCATCAAAATGTACTCTGTGTACAAAACAAAGCTCTTCAACAGTTTTTCTAAAGGAGATGGATTGGAAAAAGGGTAGGAATACAGGAGAGGACTGAAAAGATGTTTTAAGGTAGCAAGAATAAAGCACATGTAAAATCAAAATTTCAGTCTGTTGGTCACAGACTCAGGGATTTCAGAGATGCCTGTGTAGATTCTTCCCACACAAAGGCATCTTAAACAAATGTGCTCCAACACACACACACACACACACAGATATATATAAATCAATTATCTCTGCCTGTAGATCACATTCTTGTGGTCACCAAGGAACAAGAGAGTGCCAGGGAGGGGATGCTAAGGGCACTGATGCCACTGAGCACTAGAAACCAGCATGTGCTTTGAAAGATCTCCAGAAATAAATGATGTTGGGAGCTCGGGCAGATCGTGGTGGTGGTTGTTCAGATCGGGTTTTCATTTTTTGTTTCAGCTTCTCAGTGTAGCAGAGATGTCTTTTTTTGAACCAGAAATAGCTTCATATGGCTAAGAGCTGACTCTCCAAAACTGGCCCATGGTAGAATTCTCTCATCCTCTACTTTTAATGCAATATTTTAATGGATCTTTATCCCACTCTTCAGTGTCTGTTAAAATATGAACTCTATTTATACTTTTTCTTAACTTCCTAAACTTCCAGACTGGCTGTGAAAAGAACAAGTAGATCTTCCACAAACACTCCCTAATTGACTATTCTTCTGACCTTATAACTATAATCACTTCTAAATCTATTCAAAAAACTTTTAAATTCCTTACCTCAAATGAAGAAACAGGATTTCTGTGAGCTTCAGGCTAACAGAATAAAACTTAAAAACTTCTCATTTGTATCCCTAGGAAGCAGCTGAATCTTTATGCTCTTCCTGCTTAATGTTTTCCACAACTTGAGTGATAGAACAGCCATGAGGATCTCCAGCATTTGCCATATTAGGAAAATAATTTAAACAGACATTATTTTCATTCAGTAATGGGACTTTTCGTTGGTCTTTCTTCCCCAATTTAGAAACTGAAAAAGATAGGGCCTTTAGGAGTTATACTTAAATAAAGTGATTAATTATGAAAGCCATTAAATACTTGATTGGTTATCTGGGACCACCAATTAGGCATCTTCTGCTTGGACCCACAGTCAGGTGAAATAATACAAGTTTAGAGCCAGTTGTTAATATTGCAACATGTAGAACAGTAGGGATGCCAAAGGCACATCCCTTTGGAGTGAGTGCCACTTGTGCCAGCAGGACTCCAAAGACAGATGCAGCCAGCCCCAGAACTGCCCGTGGGAATCTGCCTGCTCCCAGGGAAATCCATCAGGAGCTGCTGCTTGTGCTGCTCCACTGGCACCTGCAAGTGGCGAGACAAACACCCTTCCTATAGTCCAAGAGGCCTATTCCACACTACTCCACAATTCTCCCATTTTCATTTTGACCCCTATGATTAGAAGAATTCCCCAACTTTGACAAACAATAAAAAATACTCATAGAAACTCCTCTGTGAGCTTGAGTAGCCTCTGTACAGCTGATGGCAGCACAACAGCCCTGAATGTGCTTTACTATGGTAATTTAAGCAATTTAAGCTTCAAATGTTCCCAGGGCAAAAATTAGGGCTATGCCTAACAAGTCCATTAGGCCTTATTTATGCCTATTAAGCAGGGGGAGTCACCCCCTTGTTGTGACTGCACACTAAAAGCTGTTATGGACAGTGCACAGAGTCCCTCATCAAACCAGCGTGGGAGGTGCTTTTTGGTGACATTTAGAATACCTCAATTACAAAATAACTACCTGAAAGGGCAAAGAAATGGATTTTGCTAACACAAAACAAAAACAGGCATTAGACTGAAAGCTTTTTTTTTGTTTTGCATTCTGGCTTTTATTCTGTTACTTCGGTACCTTAAGATACTCAAAATGAATGAAAAGCCCAATATCTGAGGGGAAAATAACCTTCTTAACTGAGGAATCAAAGATTGAGAAACTGCCTGAGAGAAAAAAAAATCAAAGCTATTCAGATCTGCAACATTAAAAATAAGGGTATATTTTGTTACTTTAAAACATCTTTAATAGTTTACCATTTAAAAATTAATGTGCTAGCTCAGGTTTGCATGCAGTTAAAATAACTTAAATCCTCTTTTTTCTCGTCCTCCCTAAGCCTTTTATTGATGGTCTCTAAAAGGAAGCATATGCTGCCAGAATGTGTGTCCCAGGGCTGGGATCCCCAAAGGAAACCACATGGCAAAACTCACAAATCTGTCTTATCATCAACAGCATGGTTAAATATTTTTTATTTAAATTCTTTTCATCACTCACCTTAAAGAATTCTCACAAGATAAAAAGAAATCATTATCATTAACGGTCATGATTTCAGGACTGAGAGCTTAAAAGACTTGAAAACTCAAATATGACAGTTAAGACTGTCTTGGTTGTTCTGAGACTTCTGGGGAAATAAAATGTGCAATTAGAGCTCTTTGATTACCTGAAGGAGTGCAACACTTCACAAATTACTGCTCCAAATTGAAATATTACTTGAAAATTTTTATGTTTGCTTCACAAGAAATATTCCAACATATTTTGATGCAGGATCTGCAAAACAATTGTGGATGTTTAGTTCAATTCATTTCAGTGTATACTGCTTCCAGTTAAAACCGCTGTTAAAACCAGAACTTCCCTACAAAAATTCCCTCTTTACTAACTTCACCTTTTGTTGGAAAATTCTCCTGTCAAAATAATTGCCAGATTCACGAGAATCTTCTGAGGAAAAAAAAGCGGGGGGGAGGGAAATGATCAATTAAGAAAAATACAACACAAGTGGCAGATTTTATTGAGGTACTGCTTTCACATTGGTCTGTGCACCCAACAGTCACACTGCACTAAAGACAACCGTGGTCAGGACATGAAGACACCACACTAGGGTGGCACACAGGGAAGGCTTCAAACAAAGCTTGGTCAACGTGGTGTGCCAGATTCTGCTCTGCTGGACAACAGGGTAAACACGACAACTGGCATGTAAATGACTGACAGCAGCAGCTGGAATGTGCAAATCAAAACATACGATTTCTGAGTACAGAACCATACACAAACATATGCAGGCACAGCTTCAGGTTGGCCTCTTGTTATCCACAGTGGCTGTAACAGCCAGGAAACACCTCTGGAAGAGTGAGTCAGCTTCTCATGCCTCCCAGTCACAGTCCATCCTTGCAGCTTAGGAAATCTCTTGAAGCCACTTGGCTTTGTCAGCAGCTTGTTCTGGTGGGGGCCTCGTGAAGGATGCAGCTCTGTACCTGCAAAATACCAATCAGAGCTCAGAATTAAGACTGAAGAGGGGAAGAGTTTCTTCCTCTGCTGTTTATCAGAGTTGATAAGAAGATCCTGCAAAAAAAACCCAGGGCAAACCACAGAGCTCAACCCATTTCACTGGCATTACTTCTTTGCAAGTATGTCTTTATATTGCTAACCTTTGTGATGTGAAGAACACCTCTGGAGGGCACTACTACAGCTATGGAACACTAAATGCCTCCTCTGGGGGTGCATGTGGATGGGTAGCTCTGCTGATGCTCCTCTGCTGTGCAAGTCAGGATTTCCCCCTGCCTGTGACAAAGGCTCAAGGCAAAATGAGGCTAAAAGAAACCAAAAAAGGCTTAGCAGACACAGTCATTCATCTAACATTTCTATGGAAAATGCATCACTAAGACCTACATTAAACCACACATTTAATTTCTTTTTAATGACAGACATACTTGCAACGTGTGCCTTTAAACCTGAAAGATACCAGAACATATTCCAAACTACACTGCAGAAATTTCTTTACAAATAAATTACTCTACTGCTCATTAAAGGAGGATTGATTCTGAGGTGAAGCACAACAGCTGCTGGTACAGATGGGTTTAGAAGCAAATGCTCTTCTGGATATGCAAAAAAATGGACATGCACTGAAGTCTGGCTGGAAAATTTCAGCTAAATCAGCTACTGACAGGAGTTTTGAAGCATGAAATTTTGGATTCAAGGCAGATGGCAACTGGCAGCAAAGAACATCCTAACCAGCAAAGAACATCACTTCAGTACTGCTTCATTAAGAGGAATGATGCTTATCTGAATTATCAGTGATGCCTTTTGCAGATTCTGGATTTTTTCTGCTGAAAGCTCTGAGGACGGTTATACAATCCTGACCAACTTAAATGAAAACATGAGACTTACATATAAACACAGATTTGTCCCCTCCCCAGCATTGCCACCTGGCTGACTGCAGGCTCAGGATGAGCCAAGAGGGCAAAGTGGGTTATTTGGGGTGTGATAAACCCCAAATAACCCACCGGTCAGGACAGGGGATTACCCCACTGGATTCAGCCTTGGGGAGGCTCACACTGAATACAGAGGGCAGTTCTGGCCTCCACAAGTTAAGAAGAACATTAAGGTGCTCAAAAGCATCCAGTGGAGAGCAACAAAGCTGGAGAAAGGGCTGGAAGGATGTCCTGTGAGCAGTGGCTGAGGACTCTGGACTTGTCTAGTTCAGAGACAAGGATGCTGAGGGGTCACCTCTCTCCAGCTTCCTGAGGAAGGGAATGTGGCAGACACTGGTGAGTTCCTGGCACAGGCTGCCCACAGAAGCTGTGGCTGCCCCATCCCTGGAGTGTTCGAGGCCAGCTTGGATGGGACTTGGAGCAACCTGGCCTGGTGGCAGTGTCCCTGCCCATGGCAGGGGGTTGGAATGAAATGAGCTTCAAGTCCCTTCCAACCCAAACCATGCTGTGATTCTGTGATCTCTTCTCCCTGCTATCCAGGGATAGAGTGCATGGGAATGGTTCAGAGCTGCATCAGGGGAGGTTTAGACTGGACATTAGGAAACATTTCTTTAGTACTTAGTCAACTATTCTCCCTTAGGTGTATTTGAGGATTTGATTTCTCCTTTTTAACTACAGAATTTGCTTTTTATTGCATCTCACCTTTTTTACCTCAGAACACTTCTCCAGGGCACTGAGATAATTCTGAAAGGTAGTTTTGCCCCAGAGTCTTGCAACCCTTCCCAGGGTGGTGTCATTCATCAATTTTATACGTATCCTCCTTAGTCCTTCAGCCAAGCTCTTACTATTGACCTGGGATAGAGCACCGAGACATCCTTCTCCCCTCCAAAAATGTGTTTGAGAATGAGTCACTGAAAACTTCTCTTTGACTGCATTTTCATAAAGATCTGTAGTCACAGCCACTTGTTCCCACTTATCTGATAGGCAAAATTACCTTGACAAAGAGAGAAATTACACTGGTTTGTCGTGATTTGTCTTCATGAAATCTGTGTCACATTTTTCTTGTGCATAACTCAATTGTTTAATAATGTACTGTGATATCAATCTAAGTTAGAAGCAATGCCTCCAGCTGCCTAGTTCCTCTCCCATTTTAAAGCTAAAAGCTGTGTTTGCCCTTTTGCTGGAAAAGAACACACAAACAAGCTTGAACTGCGTGTTGAACCACACCAGTTGTCAGGGGTCCTGTTCCTAATTAAAACCCAGTGAATTTGGCAGAGGAATTCTGCATGATAAATCAAATCTAATTGGCACCTGTAGCTTTCTCACAGCAGTAGAAAGTGTGCAGCCACTGATGGAGTCTCTGGCTCAGCACTGCAGAGCCACTGCTCCCAGTGACAGGTGAGGGCAAGGAATCTGCAACCAACAGAGGTGAAAAGCAGAGGGCAAAAAACCACTAGAGACCTGGAATTTCTACCAACACTTAACCTTATTATCTGCTGAGGTTCAGAGAAGGTCCTTGCCTCCCTTTTCCTTTTCACATAAAGTTCCCAGCTCTTCAGCTGTGGATCAGGAAGAAAAAGGCTCACAGGCTAAGGATTGTAGTTTTTCTGGATTTAGCTCTAAAAGAGGTCTCAGGTATTTTGAGTTTTCACGGTAATGCCAGCCTCATTTTGCCAACACAAAGAGTTGGGTAATTCATGCACAAAAACAAGACTTCTACATTTTTTTGTCTTTATCTAATGCATGCTTTCAAACCCTACAGAAGTCCTTTGCAGCTGGCCTTTCATTCTCTCCCTGTTTCTCTCTCCCTGGAGCACCAGTGGTTTGCAGGCTGCACTTCAGGGCATCCCCTGAACAGGAGCCTCTCTGCCCCAGAGGAAGGCAGGCGAGCAGAAGCAGCAGGAAACGAGAGGCTCCTGGCCCTCAGAAAGCAGTGCCACATTCCCAGACCTCAGCTCGTCTCAGTACTTGGCACCTGCCTGGGATATTTTTGGATTTTCTCACTACAGACGGTTTCCTGACTGCAGGATCCATTTTAGTCTTCCCATGGCATTTTTCTCCCACAAGCCATTTCATTTGCAACAGCAGAAAAAAAAAATAAAATAAAATGTGTGGAGGTGGTTGGGAATTTTGAAATGAGTTTTGTTACGCTGAAGTATTTTTATGAGGCCCAGCAGCCCAAAGCAACCCCCTGTGCCCATAAAGAGCCCTGAGAAAGGTGCACTGGCACTTTTTAAGGCTACAAGAGAAAATACATGAAGCAGGGAATTCTTGACACTTTCCCTTTCCTGCTCATCTGAGAACGACTGCTGAGCAAAGGGGACCACTTATTTTTCCTGTGACAGACACTGCTGATCCACAGCTGTTCTCACACTCTGTGCCTGCCTAGCCAGGAGCTTTCACCCCCTGCAGAAAGTAAAATGCATGTTTTCATGCCTCCTGAAGTCCTCTGTATTACTGATAAATTCCTCTTAAGTCTGAAGTACAACTCGTCTGCACTGCCATACATTTTAAATACTATTTTGCATGGTCTGTGTCACAGGCAGTTTGACCTTTAAACAGGATTTCAGCATAAAAATCAAGTTTCTTTCAAGATAAGCCTCTCCAGTTCTCTGTCAGACTTGACTTGGCACTCACAGGTGCCATCTCCCAGAAGCCAAATGTGACTAAAATGCCCACCAAACACTTCCCTGCTCACACCCTTTGTCATACTTTTGAGCAAATCATCACTAAAGAAATTCTTCTCAATAAGTTCCAGTGTCTGCCTCCTTAGTAAGCTCTGGTGCACCCAGGACAGCATCAGGGAAAGGACAAAGACAGCATAAGGGGAATAAAATCTTCCCTGGCACATAACCATGATGGAGTATTCATGGACCAGTAAATCAGGAAGAGATTTGTCTGTGGAAGGACTCTGGCCAAGTCTCTGCAGATGCATCCCTGTGCAAGGGCAGCATCAGGGCAGTGTACAAATAAATCAGAGACAGTTGCCAGTGCTTATCAGAAAGTTAAAGAGTCGTGGCATTTTATGAAATCCATATAAAACAGAGTAAAGAATATACAAGAGAGTAAGATGAAAATAAATGTTCTCACAGTACCTATTTTCTTTACAGCATTGGTAGAATCCATCCAGTGCCTCTGTTTTTTAACATACTGAACTCCCTCTGGTTTCACTGTCTGTAAAACAAAAGCATTTTTAGTAGAACTAACAGCATTATTCTTCTTTTAGTTTCAAATAGTAATACAGAGATGTGCCCACTGCACTGATTCCAGTTCCTGGAATCTTCTACAATTTTTAGAGGATAGATCAAAACCACTCCACTTTCCATTTCTGAGCCTCCAGGAGGCTGCAATTATTAACATACTTGTGTTAAAAAGGAATAAACATCAAAGGGAAGAGCAGTTTAGGGTAGCAGCACTGTGGTATAAGGAGGACTTAAAGCAGGGAATCAGAGTGTCTGCTACAAGAAAGTGGAGGGGAAAAAAAAATCCCATATTCAAGAAAGTAAATCAGAAATCTCAGACTTTCGTTCCTCTCCAGACATGATCAGTCACCACTGCCTTCACTGCTCCTTCCACCCAGCGAGCCCAAAGCACTGTGTGTGTGTGGGGAGGCTTCTCTGCGTGAAAGAAGTGTTACCCATGTTTGACACAAAGACTCAAGTGATGACAGGAGCAAACGAAGCCATTTTTAGGTAGGCATGGCACCAGTTGCCCAGAAAATCTGTAGTTCTGGCAACTCCCGTCTTTTGAGCCTTTGCTTTTGAAGTTTAGTAGCGTTTGAATGTTTCTCAGAGCTCAACTCCATAGGTTAAAGTTTATTAAAATTCCACAGGCTAACTGAGCCACACACCTGCTTGGAGCAGAATGGCTGCAATCTTTAGATTCAGTGCAGATAACTCGAGTTTGCCCAGCTGCTCAGAAGAACTAAAGGCAGCCCTGCAGCTGGATCCCTGCAGGGAGGGAGGAGGAGGATGCTCTGCTGGTGGTTTCACTGATACCTGCTGACAGCTGGGAAAGCAAAGCTCTGGAAAGACTTTCCTGACCACACTTTGAACTCAATTTATTTTCTTTCTTACCTGATATTCATTTTGTCAGTCCTTTCCCACTTTCCTCATTGTGTTTCCCACCCTAATTTCCTGCTACTGTGCTTCCCATGCTAATCCCCATATCCACGAACAACAGGTCATACTTTGAGTCCCTCCTCTCACTTTCACTGCTCTCAATCTCCAGTTGCTTCCCACCCTCCAGGCTCCCTCTCCACATCCCCAAGCAGCCTGAGCCTGCTCTCCAGCCCCCCCACAGTCACTGCTCCACTCCCTGACCCTCCAAGACTTTCTCCATCCCCTCTGGAATTGTTGCCTCCCTGCTCTGCTGCTCTCAACTCTGTTCATCCCACCCCTTTTCCACATGTTCCTGGCACATTTAGGTGCTTGCAGTTTTCTCCTTTACCTACCAGCTCCAAAACCTCTCCCTACTCCCTTCTCTCACCTAAGTCTCCTTAGGGAGCTCATCAATCTTCCTCCCAAGCCAAGTTTCCCTGTATTTCCCAATACCCTCCAGCCCAACACTGTCTTGGACTTCATTTTCCACTTTTCCACTGCTTGGGCCAACACAAAGAACAAAGAGAATGGAAAAGATAAATTTAACAGGGCAGGGTATTTGGGTCCAAGAAAGTGTATGGGGAAGGCATTAAAAAAAGATTCCCAGAATCCAAGAGAGGACAAAAGTCAAGAATTCTAGTATTTTAATTAAAAAACCAAACACCTGACACAAAGCCAGGCAAAGGAATTATTTGGGTTTGAGGGGTTTGGAAAGTTGCAATTTACTTTGTTCGAGTTGAACAAGCTGCAGTTTGGTTTCAAAGATGTCAAAATGGGATTTAAGCCAAGATTTTAGTTGACACCAACTATGTGAGTTATTTCAGCTGTGATTAAAAAAAAAAAAAAAAAAGGAAGAAAGAAAAATTCCTACTCAGATATAGAGGAAGGCCCCTTATTTTTGAAGCCTACACCAGCTCTAGGTATCTTTGCAGTAAAAAAACCTGACTCTTAATGAGCTGCAAAAAAACTCACTGCTACAAGAAGGTTTGGGAAATTTAAAAGCTAAGGAGTCCAATGAAAACCTTTCCAAATTTAATCTTTCCTAATGATGTTCCCTCCACTAAATTGGAATTCCCAGCTCCAAAACAGTTATATTATTTTTTTTTTAATAGTTGAGCCCATTTGGCTGGTTTTTCCCCATACACAAATCTGAGGCAGATGAGTGGCAAAGATAAAATTAGCCTGACTGGGGAAAATTTAAGGCTTGTTACACAAAGACCATACAGTTGCCATTGTTGATAAACCTGGAAAGCAAAGCTATCAGTGCACACTGCAAAAGCCAAGCAGTGTGTCTGAATTCAGACAGCAGGTACCTGCTTTCAGAACCAATCCTCAGGTAATTCTACTGAAGATAAGAAGGGGAATGTGTGAGAGTTCAGTGCCTTTTTATCAAAATATCTGAATGTCTCAAATATTTGAATCCTGCCTCATGAGGAATCTTTAATTAAGGAGAGAAATGGGCACAGGAAGGTCATCTGGCTATTTTTCAAGCTGAGTTTTTAATGAAATGAAATAATGAACTTTTGCATACTGTGATGTCACTGCTTTGCAAGAACAAGAAATTAATAAGTTCTATTAGAGCACATTTTTCCCAGCACTTCTGATTAATTTACAGGGTCACAGTTCTCTTCACACTCCAACCCAAAGGTCCCTGCTGTCTGACTCTGAATGCATTACACAGGTCCTCCTGTGCCAAGTTTGAAGGGAAAGTGTCAGTAACCCTCATAAAACACCTCACCTCACCTCCAAGGTCTGCCCACATCTGGAACAAACACAGGGGCAACTCAGAAAACGTGTTTTAAAACTCCAGGTCACCAAGGTGGAGAGGCTCTGTCTGCCTTTTATACCTCTGATGGCAAAGCCCATCCCAAGGGGCCAGCACAGATGATCCCTCCTCTCCCATCAGCTGCCTGCCCAAGGGAAGTAGATGGGCATCTTTTCCCAGAGCTGAGCATTCGTGCCTTTGGATTCCTCCTTTTCTGCCTGTTCACCTCCTCTCCTGACAATCAGGCAATGTTTCCTCAGCCCTCCTGATCTCCAGCACTGAGGGGATGTTCCAGCATTGTTCACTCAGCCTTAACAAAACACTCCCCATCTTTTGACTTCTTAGTTCCCTGCATTTTGAAGGGGAGAAACCTTCTGAACAAAGAGAAGTTTTTGGTTAGAAGAACAAAGCATATGGCCAAATTCCCTTTTGCCTTGGATAAATCCAGAATGTTTGCATGCTCAGGGCTTGGATTTCTTTGGGACTTTTTTCTACCAGTTACAGTTTCCCAGCCTTCAAGTGGGAGAAAGAGAAACACTGAAAAATGAGTTCAGGGAAAAATCCTTTCTCTCAGAAAGAGCTTAAAGAGCAACTTGTATAATCAAACAGCAAGTTCACTGTGCTAAGAGAAAGTATGCTCCAAGGATTTGAGTAGCCTTGGTCTCAAAAAGCATGGCTCAATTCCTGGGTCAGAGAGCTGGTTTTTAGAGGTAATATAAGTAAAAGGACAAAGATGTTCTGGTTACTGATGTCCCTACAGACTGTCTTGCATATTAGGGATCAACTCTGCACTCTGCACTATGATACTACAAATAGAACTGTGTAACTCCAGTAGCATTTAAGTGGTTCTTCCTTCTCTATACCAGTGACTGAGCTCATTTTTCTTGAAATTCAGTGTTCAGATTAAAATGTTAATTTTTGCTAGGGCTAAAACATCCTTAGTTAACTCAGGAACCTAATCTGTAATATCTCTGCCGGTGCTAGTAAAGACCATTTGTCCAAGGCCAAACAGAGGCAAATTCCAGTTGATCTGCCTTTTGCAGAATCAGTAGCTTTAATAAAGGCTTCCCATATTCACACATTGTTAGATTTATAATCAATCTTGAAACCATTCCTGTAAAAATTCAACTATTCCACTTCTTCCTTCAGGGGATTTTGGATGAGCCCACAGAACAATGACCAACTTTAACTATTCCGTGAGGTAAGAAAGGCTTACAACAATCAATTGTATGTTTGATGAAGTACAAAACTCTAACTGAGCAATGTATTATGCATGAAGTTGAACACAATAAAAAACACTGCCTTCAGAAATGAATACTCTCTGAATGCTCCAGGGATACACATGTTGCACAACACCTCATGTGTCACACAGCCTTCACCTAAAGGTAAGATTATGCCAATTTAGAAAAAGCTGGGTTGAACTGAGCTCAAATAAAACTCTTGGTCCCCAGTCCTGCAGTTTCCTGAAGCTTCTAAAACTGGTTTAATTTTTTAATTCATTTTTATTGTCTAGATATGATTATGCTCAGATCTCAGAAGAACTGGAAGAGGAGGAGAGAGGCTGTTTTTATTGTTCCCCGGGCCTGAAAGCAGCAAAGCAGTCGTGTCCTCAGACACTCAGACCCTGCAAAAGAAACCCAAGGATGATGACGACAAGCACTCAGGCTTGTCTGTGAAATCCCTCAGCATTTCCACAGGCAAAGCAACGGCTTTCAATTTCCTGCAGCCCATCTCATGAACAGCTAAAACTATCAGAGTTTAGATGTGAAATAATTGTCATTCAGAGCAGCCAAAGAAGCAGAATAATAGAAGTGAAAAACACAGGACGAGAGCAAAGCCAAAGCAGTGTTTAAATCCAAAGCAATGGAGCCTGAACAAAGCCCCAAAGCATGCAAGAGGTGGCTGAGAAAAGCCAAAGATCTCCCAGCTTCCCGGGCTCCTAACATTTGGAATCGTGAGATGGGATGCCTGCAGGAATGCTGGGTCATCAGTGGGGGAGCTTGGGATGTTGTTCACCTCACGACAGGAAGAGAGGAATATCTCTAATGCCCAAGCAGGATGTGGGTTTGCAGCAGGGTCCAACTCGGAATGCAAAGATGGAATCGCGTGGCAGCTGCAACAGCCCCCGCCTCCTTCCCAGCTCCCCACGTGCCAAACATGTCTGGCACAAAAACACAAGGCATGAGGAGAACAGCACAGCTGTCCTGGCAATGGATTAGGAGCTGATGCCATAGCAGGAAAACTGGAGGGAAGAAGCTGAACAGCAACACGTTGAAAAGCATAATGGCAGTCTATAATTAGAACACAACCATCTTGGAGCACCAGAGCGGTTTGTTCATCCCACTCAAGAGTTTATTTAGGCTGTTCTAGGTAGCAGGTCTTATTTCCACTCTCTCCCCAGGACAAGTGTGAAGTTTTCAATTTGCAGATTAGTAGCAGTTTGCTGAATGTGTGACTTTCGTTTCAGCGGCTCGCTTGGCTTACACAGCTCCAAAGGGAGGATCCGCAGTTCCTGGTGGCCCAAAGAACTACTTTTAGACCAAAACCTGCATCCTCTGGAGAACAAAATAAGACATAGGAAGCTTGGTATGAAGTGGACTGTGTTAACTAGACACTCAGGAGGGGGCTTACTGCTCTATAATAGGCTAAATTACAGTAACTCATTGGTCATTTACTGCCACGGAGGTGGAGAAGCATTTTAAAACAACAAATTAAAAAAAATCGCAGATGAAGGGACTTTTTTCCAATAATTATTCCCCTTTTTCAACTTGTTCAACTTCCAATGCCTAACTAAGTAAAAGCTTGTGTTAAACACAAACTAAGCTTGTGTTAAATGCTTTGAGTTTGGTCCAGATTTCACACAGCAGGTAAAGCAGCAGGACAGCTCGATTACATCTTGAGGTCCCCATCAGAAAGAAAATACACACTGCTGGACTCCTCCACATCCATTTAAAGACAGAATAAAGCTTTTCCTCTGCAGGTGATTACGTACATCAAAAACAACAGGTCTTACCTGCCATCTGCAAGCTTAAACCAGTATCGAGTTTGCTGCGTGGCTTGGTGCTGATAAACAGATAACAGAGAACACACACAGTGATGATAAAAGCAAAGAGCACCACTGCTGCTATCGACAGGCCCACCAGTGCTCCAACACTAGGAGAGAAAAACAAAGACATTAAGTGTACAAACAGCCTGGGATACCCATTAAGCAGTGGTCAGGATGATGCCTGGAGTTTACTCGTACTCAAGCGTGGGACTGATTTTGTATTTTCCTGTAAACAAAAGTTTAGAGCTCAGTACTTAAACTGCACAAATGCAGTTATTTCACTGCCCTCAGAAGGGTCAGTGTCACTGTACAGGAGCTGAACATCTGACCCTTGGTGACATTTCCTGCTCCCTGTGCATACCAAGGCTGAGTCTGACTGAAAGCATGCTGATGAAAATCAGAAGTAACGTCACGCAGTAACCAACATCAGAAATCAAAAAGCTCTTCAGTGCAGTGCATATTCCTAGAAAAGCATAAGATCATATGCACACACACAGAGGGATTCTAGGGCTCCAGGCAGCTCAAACAACATGACTATTCAAGCTGTATTTTCAGTCTGAAAAGCCATTTTTATAGTGTAAAAACCATGCAAGCCATGTTATTCAATTCTGTGAGCAGCTCTGGAGAGCAGGGCAGAGTCCTGTGATCACTGGTGTGCCCATGTGTTAATGCAAGAAATCTCCAGTCAGGACCAGTGAAATTCTCCCATGATCTTTGTAATGGTAAACGGAAAACTAAAGCTGAATTAGTTTACACACAATATCAAAGGCTCAAAGAAGCAGGAACTTAATTCCTCAGGCCAAACATACAGTAATTTTATCAAGATACTACTCCTGCAGGATAAAAGTTACTTTATCCATTTCCCACAGGCACACAATGAGGCAGTGTATGTATATACAGAAATCTCTCCTTATTTCCAACCCTTCTTTTCAAGTCTTTTCCTAATATAAAATGCTCATGATGACATAAAGGCCCCGGTACAACACAGTCTAGCTATCATTTCCTACCCTCTCCTGGGCCTTTTGATGCCTTCAGTGTTCCAGTCCTCTATTCTACAGTGCATGCCCAAGTTCCTGACTTCTGGTGAAATTAAACAGCGGCCTTTTGGTCACAGATGAAGGGTCTGAGGATTGAGAATCCTTCTATTGCTGCTCTATTTACAATTTGGACAGACGTCAAAAGGAGAGAAGATAAATGACTGTTCTTGAATCCTACCAGCTCCATCCTCTAGTCATAAAAATGCCTTTATATATCACTGCTATCGGTGAGAAGTCAACTCTACTGTGGCCTTGCAGGGAGATGAGAAGAACTGTGCCCTGGGATGTTTTTATGAATTTTACATTCAAGCTACTGCAAAGCTTCTCCGTGAGCTCCCACAGCACCAGCAGACAGATTTGTCCACAGGAAGAACTGTTAAAACCAGCAGGATGAGAACAGCAGATATCAGGATGACTTTACCGTGCAGTTTCGGCAGTTATCGGTCAGATTCATTAATGAGGTTTGTGCCACATTCAGCTCCACTTTAGCATAACTAAAAGAAGTTGTTATCAGTGAAATGACTGGTTGTGGGAAGAACAGCTCTACCCTTCTGCAGATTTGTCATGGTGTTTACCATCTGCATGAACAAGAGTGTCATTATGTGTTTGTGCATATATGCACATACCAGGCAAATTTTTCCTTCTTGTTTTTTGGCCCAAACAAAATTTGCAGGCAAGCAATATTGTGCTTAATATGGAATCTGAGCATGACCATACGATCAGAGATCTCAGCTGGGTTCTGGCCTCACAAAACCAGACACTCTGGATTCCACTTCCTAAATGAATCAGAAATCAGGATTCAATTTGTACTTACTCTTTTTAAACACAGTGTTTCAATGCCAAACTGTTGTCAAAGCTCTGAAGCCAGCAACCCACTTAGAAGGTGGGGTTAAGTTCCTCAAGATTAATTTTGGGTTAAAGTTTGGGGTGGTTATTTCTTAATGTATTTAATTCAGAAGAATTGAATGTTTTCCACAGCTCTGAACACTGATGTTTCTTAAGCAGGATCTTTTCTTTCTATTTTAGCAGTTAAAGCTGTTATCAGAAACAACTCTTAGTCCTTGCTAAAAGCATTTTAGCCATTTTCCAGCTTTTACCTTAAACATGAGCTGTCTGAAGCTCTCAGCAGTCTACATAATAACAGTCTACAGGTACTCTGGGTGTATCTTCAAGGTCAGTCTCCTGACAGCAGAGACACTCAGCAAACAAACTCCAAGTCCCTCTTGCCCACAGCTACGGCCTCACTAGCAAGTGAAAACCTCTGCACTGACAACCCACCCAACCCCAAACCAATGACTTAGCAAAAATGGCATTGAAGGCCTGGCAGTGTTTGCTCAATGCTTTGAACCTCAGCGATGTTAAGTTTGGTAGCAGATCCAAACAGAACTCTCCCAAGCGACTTTCCACATGCACCAAAGATACTAAAGATAGTTACTTTCCACACCACACATCTCACCGTCACTGTCACACCAAGTGGCACATCTGGGCCTGCAGCACAGCCAAAGGCTTTGCTCAGCAGAGGCTCCACTTGCCAGCAGCCTCCCCAGGGCTCCCCAGGCTGCTGTCCAGGGAGCTGCTTGGTGGCTCATCGACGTTTCTGTCAGTGGATGCTCAGCACCACACACCTACAGTTATTTTTAGTCAATAAAATTGGTCCATCCACACCAAGAACAGCCAGGCAGCAAATATTGGCTAAGCAGATGCAGTGTTGCCCACTGGTACACTAAAAGGAAGCTCATGAGTCATCTGGATCCCAGTGAATCAAATGTTCCTAATGCCATTGTTGCAGTGACGTGGTGTCTGTAGTATTTGCAAAGCAAACAGATAAATATACTCAGGAGACTGGAAGAGTGGGCATAGAAGAACAAAAGACTTGCTGTTTTGGAAAGCCAAAACAAACTCCTGGAGATCTGCACAGCCGAGCAAAGCTTGGCCTCAGCATTAGGTCAAGGTAGTAATTAATAAAGCATTTTGAGTAACATCTCTATGTGGCCTGACAAACTTTTAATCAAATATATATTATTATATGAAACAAAAAAGATACAGCTTTGGAATGGAGACTATAATTTTATGTGATACTGAAAGATGCCATTAAATTTGCAAAATAAAACTTAACTGAGGAGTGACCAAAAAAATTCTAAAAATCTTTTAAAACAATGAGAAACAAAAAGGCTGAATTTAACTGCAGCAGTTCTGTACAAATATCACAAGTTCAGCATTTCTCCCCTTCCACTCAGCTTGGGAGCCATGGCAGATGTGATGACTGCCATGTACATGCACAGCACACAGCTCTGGAGGCTGAGCTCAGTGTTTTGCTCACCAGACTTTTTCAGCATCTGTGTTCTGTTGTTTCAAACACTGCATAACCTTGTGGTGAAATCTGCACACCCCTGCCTTTTGCTAATGTTGCCTTCCCTGTTCCACGGGCTCCCAACTGATGTAAGAGAGTAAAAAATGCACCCTTCACTTTTCTTTGCTGAGGTCAGCTTTTCAAGAAATATGTTCTAACAAAGAGGAAAAAAAAAGATACTGTATTATTTGATTTTAAATACCGGGGGAAAAAAACAAAGAAAAAAAATATAAGCAAGAAAGAATAATATTAAGTATCATAAATTCTGGTGAAAATATGAAATGTGTCAGAGTTGCTCAAAGGTCTGTTATTTATGATTGTCCAAGAGCTCCCAGGACAGAGGGTGTTAGGATGGACTTGTCAAATAGCACAGTTTTTGCAGGAGTGGTTTAGGAAAAGAAGGTTCCCTATTGCCAAGGCAGTGTCTGGTTCTAAACACAGTGCAGGCAGTAGAGATTTGGCACCAAAACAAAGGAATAGCATAGGCCTGCTAGTGACTGGCTTCAGCTTGCCCAGCCTGCTGGCTTCTCCATGACCTGCTGCTGTCAGAGCTGCCTACAAAGTGCTCTGGCAATGCCTCTCCCACAGCAGGAAAACCACAAAAGGAATATGCAATGGTTTCCTGAAATTCCACCTGGTGTGTCACCAAACTGAAACAATCCCTGTGATATCACCAACTGCTTGTAGTGCACTCAGTCACTGCTTTCAAATTCACGGGGGGAATCAAGTAAAGATTTAGGAAAAGGAACCTAAAGAGTAAAGCAAAACCTGAAACAATTCCCCCATCAGAGCTTCCATTCTCTTCCTTGGTATGTTCCATCTCCAGGTTTCAAAGCTTGAACCCAAATTTCTGACCTAGGTGGAGGCTAAGAAGTCAATTCTCAGACTCCAGAAAATCTTTGTGAAGGAAGGCCCTTCAGAGGGGTGCTTCATTAAAGCCTCTCATGGGATTCAGCTCTTGGAGGTACTTTCAGAAAATACCAAGCTTTAACAAACTTCACTGCAGCATATCAGCCCCATGCAAGAGCAAAACCTTTTAAACTTCATCTTTCAGTAGTTCTGCCATCTTGAGAAGGTTTACTGTGATCAAAACATCAGACTATGCACAAATATCATATAACATCAAAACAGTATTTGCTAAGTGTAAGAAAGGACACCTGGAGATGTCTTCTCACATCAGAGAAGCTGAGTAATTCTGTGTCAGTCACAGTGGTGGATGGTTGGGAGATCCCCATATTCAACCCACTCCTTGTACCAGACAAAGTAGATCTTAAATAATAATACGTTAAATATTAGACAAATTACATGAATAAGCCCACAGTACTGGATAGCATTCATTCACTCATTCATGAGCCCTGAAGGAGTTCACGTGTGAAAGTGCAAAACTGCTGGCCAAGGTGTGCATCCCATCATCCCACAAGGCCACCCTAGCAGAGGTCTGGCAGCCTGGGAGGGCAACTCCAACCTAAAACAGGGCTCTAGAGGGGAACCCAGGAACTGCAGACCTGAATCCCACCCCCTTGCAAGACAGAAAGGTGAGGGAAAAAAAATAATATCCCCAAGTCAAGAGGTAAACACAGGGTGCTGAGTGCTGAATCTGAGCCTGGCTATCATTCCCAGGCCATGATGCCCCCCCTCACCTTACCTGAGTATGAGGGACAGGTCCTTTGATGGCAAAGCCACTGCTCCCATCCCCCTCCTTACCACGCTCTGCCCACAGGAAGCTGCTGGCACTTGCAGCTTTCTGACATAAAATCTTTAATGAAAGAGTCAGCATTTCTACAAGGGGAAAACACTGCCTTGTTAACCTGCTGGAGTCTGTGAGGTGTCAATAGACAGATGGGCGGAGGAACCCAGTGGACAGAGTTAGATGTCTCAGAAAACCTATTGACGAAGCCCCGCACTGAAGGTGTGGCTAAAAGACTGAACCGACACGGGCTTAGGGAAAGGTTCTGTTACAGATTTAAGGCTGCTTAAAAGAATAAGGAGCAAAGCACAAGGCTAGGTGGGCTTTTTCAGTATAAACAGATGTCACTGAGACTGACATTTCTTCAGCATCTTCATCTATGACCTTGTGAAGAATGAAATCTGAGTTTCTGACGATCCTAAGTCCCTACAAGTGATCAAATGCCATGAGGGCAAGGAATGCTAGAAGACTTGAGGAAAACTGAGTGAGCAGGCAAAAGTGTTGTAGATGAGTTTCAGTGTACATAACATAATGTATAAACAGTACGATGTATAAGCAAAACCAAGCCTACACTGCAATGAACTTAGAATTGGCAGTTCTGAACTCAAGGCAAGTTTTACAGTCATCAGTGACAGCTCACTGAAATCACGGAGTCAATGTGAACCGGCAGCCAAAGACGTCAACAAAAAGTTGGCCAAGAGGAAGAATTTTGAGAGCAAGGCTGGAGGTAGCATTTTGACACTCTGTAGAACCTTGCCATACCCACACCTTGAGCATGCAACTCCGGCACTGTGGAGTGAAACACAGTATGGATGAGATGCAGCTAAAACCATCCATCAGACACAGAACCTGCCCCAATGATAATCCAAAAGGACTAAGGCTGTTCAGCTCAGAGAGGTGAAAGCTGAGAACTGATGCACCAAATGCTCACAAAATTTTAAACATCATGCATAAACTGAACATGCAATTGCTGATCACCGGATCTCACACATACTAATAGTAGAGAGCACTCCAGAAAACTAGTGGGAACAGTATAAAACAGATAAAAGGCTGTATCTTCAAACAGCAGGCTGCCACCAGGGCTGCAGAAGCAGACGGTATAAGCAAGCTCTGAAAGGGCTTTGACAAAATCAAGCATATCAAGTCCATAGGAAACACAGTGAGAGCACCCTGCAGAGGTGGACTAAGATCCTGACACAGCCAGCCTGGATGCTGAGGAGCCCGAGGGGAACCAGGGAGCAGCCGGGCTGGCTGTGTGCAGCTCTCCTCTCTGCTGCAGATACAGCCAGAGCCAGGCGGACCCTCGCACTGCCCCAGGAGAGCACCGGGCTGATTATCTGTCACCTTCCAAGTGGAAAGTTACGTATTGCTTGACCTTACCACACAAGGAAAAGTAGCTAAAGTCGTTGGGAACTTTATGCCCGCAGCACCTCACACGCTCGGGCCCCGAGACCGCTGTTCCCCTCACACCCGAAGGGCGGGGAACACTCGGGATGCTCTATCCAGAGGCACCGAGCGTTTCCCAGCGCTTCCTTTGCGAAGACCACGAGTTGTTTCCTTCAGAAACCACCCTGGCCCAAGCAAAAGTCTCTCCGGGATGAAGATGCCGCTCTCCCGCTACTCTCGGCGGGACAAGGGCAGCCCAAAAGCGCCCGGCTAACAAATACCTCACCAGCCCGCCCGGAGCCTCCCACCCGGGCAGGCACCGCCGCGCCCCTACCTGAGCCACCACATGTAGCTGTGCTCGTAGGGGAAAAAGCTGTGGGGGTCATCGCAGCAGTACTTGACGTCCTGGAAGCCGCAGCAGAACACGGCGCGGGCATCGCCGCCCGCCCGCGGGCAGCTGAACCCGCTCACCAGCACCTTGTCGGCGTTGAGGTAACTGCTGCACTCGGCGCTCATGGTGCCGCTGCCCGCCCGGCGCCTCGGCTCGGCGGCGCCCGGGCGGGAGGGAAGGCGAGGAGAGGCGAGGAGAGGAGAGAGGCGGCTGTGGCGGGCGGAGCTGGGCGGGCAGGGGGCTGCGCTGGCGGCGGGAACCGCCGCGCCCACTTCCCCCCCACCGGGGGTCGCCACAAGGCGGGAGCGGCGGGAGCCGGCAGAGCCCTGAGGGGAGGGAATGGCGGGAAGGGGCTGTGTGCGCCATCTGCTCCCCTCAGAGGCTGGGGCTCGGGGTTGCTTCAGCGCCGGGTCACACGTCGAGCAGGGGTTTCGAGGGTCCGCCCTCACACCCATCGCCTCGGTGGGGTCTCAGGGAGGTCATGGAGAGGGACCGCACCTCCGTTATTCTCAGGAGCCCTTGAGGGAAAAGCTTCATGTAAAGTTTAATGTTTCTGAGAGATCAATCTCCTGTTCTTTCCAGAGGGCATTTCGGGATACTTTAAAAATCGGGGCTCAAGCAGTCATTCTGTTACCTGTATGAAAGAGCCTCTCCTGAGGGAAGGGTAAGCAGATCTCAGCTCAAGACGACACACATACAATGCACTCTCTGTTTGTGATTTGGCTCACGGAAAAAAGGGTAATAAAAAGCCTCTGAGAGTGCAATGGAATGCTTACCCTCTCTGAGGACCTGGTGCTCAGTCTCTTCTCTAGATCCAGGAGAGCCTGGATCAAGTGCTTTACCAGACAAGTGACCTCCTCAAGGAAAAGTTCACATTTTAGAGAGAAAGGGAAGTCATGCAACATCAATAGAGCTTGGTTTGAACTAATAAGACTGCATTAAGTCAGCTAGCACTTCACATTTCGATTTCAGGTCTTGCCTTGAGATGAACTCCAGGCAAGTGGGGATGTCATGTCTTCCAGCTGTTGGGCAAAAGCAAGAGCCAGGAGTGATGGCAGCTTAGGGAGCTGCGGTCCTGCAGGATCTGAAGGTGGACAGGCAGGTGGACGGGCACTCTCAGCAGTGCCAGGTGAGGTAAGATACTGAGTCCATCCAGGAGACAGGGCAGGAGGCAAGTTCTGTGCAGCATAGGTTTAAAGTTTGTTCAGAAGGACCAACAAGAATCCAGGAGAGCAGGAGACAGGACTGAGCTTAGGGAAGGCCAGGCTGCCCCAGCTGAGCTTAAAGGTGGCTCCTGGACCAACGGGCAGAGGGTGTGGATGTGGTGAGGACCCAGATACTGCTGGTGAGGGCCTGTTGGTGGCTGCTTAGAGCCCTGACACTGAACCCTTCCACTACTCCATACAGTCCTCCTGTATTAGACTGTGCTTGCTAAAAAGTATAAATATTCTTTGGTTGCTTGGTTGGTTTTATTTTGTGAAATCAACCCTGACTTAGCATCAAGTGAAATGAACTCAAATTCAGTCAGACTCTTTCTGCTGAATTACAGATTTGCCTTGCTAGTATTTAGATGTATACATGAATAGTCAGGGAAGATTCAAAGTATTAAACTGTTAAGCTTGAACAATTTGAGAATTTGACTTTAGGTACCTCAAACACAGGTTCAGCACTTCATGATGCACTGCACAAAGTGAGAGGATGAATGACAGTGACGTGGCTGGTGCAAAGGGGAAGGCCAGGAGGGATCGATGGGTATTGAACATCATCAGAGAAAAAGGCTAGATAACTATGAGATTTTGTGAGAGTTGTATGTTCCTCACTTGTGTTGTTCTGGTGAAATCAGATATAATCAGATTAGTTTTATGATAAAATTGAGGATTGACTTAATTGAAATATGTACAGGAAAATGATATGTCAATAGTGTCAGCACATGTTAGGATTTTCTGTTACTTGAGATTATTTATTTTTTTTAGAGACCAATCTCCTGGTCATTTGACTCACAGTGACATAGGAACTGTTTTTCTGTGATTGAGGAGAGTCTAAGGAGGGAAGGATGGATGAATCTCAGCTCAAAAACCATCAGTTGGTTGGCCAGATAGTGTGTATGCACCAGTCAGCTAAAGAGCTCGTGGTGTGGTTGAAACCAAGAAGTACAGTGGTAAATGGCATGGGTTTGGAGACTGATTCAAGACTTTGAGAGGTTGCCAATACTGTGTTCAAAGCACAGATCTAAGTCCTACAACTTCCCAGGATAGAGAAACATCTAATTCCAGTCTAATAGGTATTAGTCTTTGAAATGTCTTCATGTACTTTGTTCAGTTGATAATAACTGTTTTCTTCCAAAACCCGAATTCCCATCTTTGTTTTTCTCTCTGATTCTCTTTATCCCTCTGGGTGTTTTGTTTTGTTTTTTTTTCATCTTATGCTTGGTTTGTTTCCACCAAGGTTCTGTTCATACCAGAATTCAACAACCATGGCAGAGAGAATTGATTCCAGGAGTCATTCAGTACACCTTTTCAACTGCGTTTTCTCAAATCAAGTGGTCAAGAGACACAGAACATTCTCGGTTATTTTTGTATTTCACATTGTTATTTTACTTTTGGAGATTTTTCTCCTATTATTCAGAACTCAGCTAACTCTTTTCCTCTCAGAATTATTACTGCAGTGATTTGGAACAAATAAAATTAGGTATCACAGTTTTATGCTCAGTCTTACACAAACTTCCACTCATACTTAATAAGACAGATCTGAGTCAGAGTTGGAGCAAGGGTGGATTTTTTTCTCCAAACTTAATGAAATTTTGTTTCAAAGAAAGCTGAAATGTTCTGAAGTGGCAAAATCTTTTTTTTAGCAATCAGTATACTCATTTATATCATGCAATCAGTTTGTACTTGCTGTGATTATTGGGTGACAATAATTAGAGTGCTCTGTTGTTCCAGTTATTTGGAAAGATTTATATGAAACATTAGAACTGACTTTATCTACCTCAGTGACTGAGTTAACTATGTCATTGCTGGAGGGTTGAAATAAAAAAACATCCTCTTTTGATGACATTCAGAAACAGGATTTGAAGTAGGAGTGGGAGGCTCTTCGCTGACCAGTGGACGACGTGCATCATCTTTTATGTCAGAAGAAAACCACATCAACTTCCTTTTCCATTCCAATTACAAAACACTGACCTCTTCCAGTAAGAGCCAGTGGTTTGGACTTCATAAAATATGCTGCCCTTGCTCTCTCTTCACTATTACCAATATCAATTTACGTTTCTACGCAGATCCCTACAGCAGTTCTCTCTGCTGAGTGAGGAGTGTGTTTCAGCCTAACAGTGAGATCATCCAGCCTTCAGAAAAACACAGATCAAAGACCTTTGCAGGATATGTGTCAGTAACAGACAAATTATCCAGGTAATTCAGCAGCAGCTTTCAGAACTGTGTCCACAACAAGATACTTCTATTCCCTGAGTGCTGAATTATCGTCCCTGTGAGTCTCTTCTGCAGTGAAGCTCCAGCTCTAAGTCTGACAAAATGTGCCAACTTTCTTAAAAGCTTGCACCCCAGACTCTCCTGCAAATCTTCAGCTGGTTCACTGGCACTCATACTGGCTTCCAAGAAGTTGTTTTGGCTGTACTTAAAGCCCTTTCCCAAAATTCTTTGTGCCGTGGAACTGCATCTTTGGCTCTTTCTTTCTTATAACTGTTTTCCAGCCTTCCCAATGAACTAATAAATATAAAGATATGTATGTTGTCTGTGCAGTAATTAGAACAGCAGCATTTTCTGTAATCATTACAAATATTTGTAATCTCCACCTAAACTGCAATTCATGTGAAAAGCACACAGCCTCTTATTTACTTGTCCTGGCTCCCCACTGTACTGGCCAGCAGAACTGGAGCTGCTTTAATTTTGCAGTAAATTACAAGAGTTCCCCTGGCTGATACAGCTTAGAGCAAAGGGGGCTTGGGGGAGAAGCTAAACTTTGGTTTAGCCATTATTTAGAGACAACTCACAGTGAATTGTGCCTCTGTGCTGACCACTGAGAAAAGCTGACAACAAGCATTCTCATTAACAGCTGTGGGACACAATTCTACCAACCAACCTTCTAATAAACAGCAAATTAATTATAAATTACCAATAGAGCTGTCAGATGAGCATCAACCCTCAGACCTACCTGGCAGGTTTTTCCTTAAGAACATAACCTAATTATTAATAGGCAAAGAGTGGCATAAATTACTCTCAAAAGTAATCTGGTGGCAAATTATGCAATTAAACAAAATTGTCATGCCAAGATGGTATAACTAGCTCTGATTAGGAGTGAAAACTTAAACTGACAGCAGGGTTAGTGCAGACAACATGTTTTATCACACATGAGTAGTAGGCACTTCAGAAAGGCAGATGACAGCATGAGGTTCAGAACAGAAAGGGGAACAGAAGTTTGAAGTGGTGCAGACTCGGAGTACATGAGATGCTGTCACTCAGAGGACTAAAAAAGAAGGACTGATGTGAGGAGCATTCTGAAGAGGACTGTCTGCTTTGGCACTCCTGTGCACTGGGGAGGTGAACTCTGTGAATTTGTGATAGCAATGGAGCTGTCTGACACCCCTGGGCAAAGGTGTTTGTAGTTTGAGGTCCTCTCTGTGCAAGTGGACACATGTGTGAAGTACCATCATGAGTTTTCGTGTCACTCCAGAGCCTAACAATTTTTCTGATCATTTTAACTGTCAATCATACACTGTATTCTTTAGCTGATTGCTCCAGTCAATATATAGCACAGATTTTGCCTTTATGCTGTCTCTGCTTCACAGAGCTAAATAATGAAGAAGAGGAAAGTAAGAAAGAGGAAGTAAGAAGAGACTTTAGGTAAAATTTTAAGGAAGAGGGAAAGTCAGTGAAACACAGCAAAGTAGGAAGTTGACACTGGTAATTTTGAGGTGAGGATGGAGCTCTGATATGTAGTTTGTGTTTGTATGTGTAATGGCCCTCATTATCTGCAGTGTTTTTTGTTCTGTAATTGGCAAATATTTCAGAATAATGACTCACTTAAGCAATTCTTACCCTTTAACACTCTCCTATCTAGAAATAGAATAATCGGGTGGATAATACAGTTTTCAACAATGAACCTGGCCAGTCTTGACTGCAATTTGTCTTTGTGGAGTGGTTTTCA